CAAAGTGTTTAAAAAAAACAGACAATTCAAAAAACTTACCAGTCTGACGATGAAGAAAACTCAGCAATCATGTCTTCATTAGAAAGCTAGAATATAGAAAGGCAGCCAAATCAGGCGCATCTTAGACACACATAACATAACCATAAGCTCACTAAATTATATTTAACTGACTATTTCAAGTAGCTCTCAATGAAAAGAAATATCTCTTTTAAAATAATGGAAACAGACATCATGATTAAAGAGAATTTTGCAAGGTACATGTACACTTCTATAAGGCTTGTGCATGAAATATAATAGTTCTGTAATACTTTGGAAAACTGTCAAAGAGACATCCTAATCTGTCAGTGTAGGAATTTTGGTACTTTAGGTGAATGTATCAAATAATCATTACTGAAAGATGAGGAAAGAGGGAGCCATGGAGGGAGTTTGCCCATCTGATGACTGCCATTACTCCACATGCCACAGAGCTGATCCATGGAGAACCTAGAGGGTTAATAAATAAATAAATAAATAAATAAATAAATAAATAAATAAATAAATAAATAAACAAAAAGCAACACTTAATTTTAATAAGGAAAGGAATGTAAATTTCAATGCAAAGAGTAAAATGTTGACTTTCAACATATTTAAATTGCCCTTCTTTAACTACAAAACTTAAATAATGAAAACTTTTAAAATTACTAATAACACTCCACTTTCAACATCAACCTGTAAAATGCCTATAAACAACTTTCACGGTATTGTACTTTGCTATAATTGTTATAAAAATGTATCCATATCGCATACAATAAATATAATTTCTGGTCAGTGGCACAATACTGATTATTATAGTCAAAATTACCTTCCAGGCGACTGCTTCCTAGCTCAGCCACAACCCCTGATAAACCGTGTTCATGCCTAAAATAAATGGTGTCATATAAAAATCTTAAGCTATTCTGGGGTAGCGCTAGCAATTTTTTTAATTTAGCCAAAATGCTACTTTTTCATCACTTTTATGTCCAATGGTTTAAATTTGACTAAAATTAGTCAAATCAACACTGTTTTGTTTAGCCAATTTCAGTCAGTTTTAGCATTTGGCTAAATAGAGTCTTTTCCACGAAATCGTAAGCATGCGCAGTTCGCGCCATTTTGTGCGGGACTGTTTCTCAGGGGGAAAGAGTAGAAGGCACTGAGCAGAAGGGGCCTTCGGTACTTTTGTAGTATACCCCCCACCCTGTAACTTTCTGTAACTTTCACTTTTCAAACAGTTTTTTACATTTAATTGTTTATCTATGTCAAAGCTGTTGAAATAAAATGCTTTTGTAATTACCTGTGGACTTTTTATTAGTGTTAATCACGTTTAATCCAGTCCATTGAAATACAAAGTTAGAATCTTCAATTNAAAATAAGGTAGAGTTAGCCAACAAAAACGCAGCAAGTTATTGACTGCGGTTACATTGTAAATTTTCACATTGTATTTCAATGGGGTGGATTAAACGTGATTAAAACTAATAAAAAGACCACAGGTAATTACAAAAACATTTTATTTCAACAGCTTTGACATAGGTGCATAAGACACTGTAAAAAAAGTTGGAAAAATGAAGGTTCAGGAAGTTACAGGGTGGGGGGGTATACTTCAAAAGTGCCGAATGTCCTATCTTTGCTGTCGATGAGGTAAGTTTTTAGTTCTTTCATTGAAAAGTCATCAGGTACTTCTGCTTAATTTCTATTCCAACTGCTCCCATGAATGTGTTTTCGAAAAAAATCAAGTGATAACATGTTACGAAACTTTGAAAATTCAGATTGAAATGAGCACTCCTCGATGTGGCGTCCGTCGTGTACACTCCACTCTTTCCCCCTGAAACTTCAAATCCCGCAAAATCTCGCGTTCCCACGGATAATTTAGCGGAAGACACGTGACCGTGGAAAAGACTCTATTATAAATAAGCTTTCATTTACAGTTACTTTTCATAATGTTCAAAATACACATTATTTTCGTTTACAGAGGCCATATAAGCTTACATACAGACATACATTCCCAGGAATGTCAGTCCGTCAGACCTATGCTCCTGGAAAGTGTCTGGTATTTAAGGTCCGGGGGACTACAATTTCCGGGATTTTAGGTCCGGGGGACTACTGTCTCTAGGATTTTGGGTCCGAGGACAAATATTATTATTGCTTTTCTCCGTCAAACTTCACTTACAGAAGAAAAGGTCTGTCATTAATTTAAATTTCTGAATATATATAATATTGTAATGATTATTTCAGATTAAAATAATCATTACAATATTATATATTGTAATGATTATTTCAGATTGAACATGACAAGCTATCACTGAGAATAAAATCGGAGTCCAAGTGACTCCAAACATGGAGTCCAGCAGTGGTGCCTAAAATAACTCCCAATTGGAGTCTAGTTGACTCCGATGGAGAAATGCCATCCCAGACGCCACAGGAGGGTCACAATTGACTCCATTCACGCATCCCTCCATCCCTTGATTTATCTCTACAAAAGAGTCACCATGACCCCATATTAAGGAAGTTTTGACTCCTTGGCACATCATGAACAAAAACAACATCACCAGTGCCAAGGGGAGAAACGGAAAGTATCGTTCATTCCTGACTGTTATGTCTCCGGACGGGCTGGAACCCACCCTAACAACTAAGCCATGCGGTCACATGTGATGTGTTTTAACATCACAAATCACAAATATACCAATGAGTGAGCGTATCTCTCCACTGACATGCATTGGTGGGTCAAACCTACAACCTGGAAACAAAACCTGCTTGACCTGTGTACCAACATATCACATAAAGGGTGTGGCAACTGAAAGCCCAGGTCAGTAATAATTAAGTGCACGAATTCTGCATGCAGAAACACACAGAAAATCACTTGTTCATGCATAAAACCAACTATGGCCAATAAAGTAATGTTTATACTGACAAAGGATGATGAAAACTGTTCTCTCCACGCCGTCTGCTCACTGCCATCACAAGTAATGAAACGAAGCTTACTGTCCAGCGAGCGAAAAGAGTCGGTGAAAAGAGTCAGCCAGACACTGGCCCCCGATAATTTGACTCTGATTTTATAGTAAGATTGACTCCATGAGAGCCAGGGGGTGATTGACTCTGATAAGAGAGTCTAAAACTCTGGTAGTGGGGTAATTTGACCCTTTTATAGGAGTCAAATTAACTCCATGAGGGTCAAGGGGTGCTGGACTCTGACTAGAGAGTCAAATGACTCCAATTGTATTCTCAATGATTTTATAAAGTAAATAAGAGGAAAGCGAAGGACGTCTCGGATGACGGACAGTGCAAAAATGATGATGGTCATGATGATAAACTTTGGCGAATAGTCGTAAGGTGGAAAGCAGGAAGATCTCTGGCTAGGGGAGTAGTAAAAAGAATATCAAAATCGGGAGCGTACATCCTACAAATTGAAGGGGATGCACCTTTAAAGGTGCCGTCAACGGCTCCAATTTGAAAATTTATCTGAGAAATGAATAGGTCTACTAAAATGAAAATAACTTTATTACAACTTCTTACGTGTTACTTTTCATAATTATTTTTCATTCAGTTTGTGAATATCAATATAATAAAGGTAATCACACCGGTCACTTTAATACACACATATTATTATTTATTATATGTAACTTCCGTTTAAGTGTGAGAGAAAAAGTCAAATCGGACATATAGTCCTAGTATAAATCAGGAAAACAGGTCCCATCCGGATTTGCATTCTTTTCAATGGGACTTACATTCCTTGGTAACTGTTGTCCCAAGGACGTTAAATCCTAGTAACGTATGTCCTAGGACATCCATATCTAGAAACGCTAGACCTAGGACTTGCATTGTCGGGTCAGACTTGCGTTACTAGGACTACCATTCGGTTCACACCGTTCCCTCGGTTATAGACGCTGAGGAGTTTACTTCACCTACCACTACACCCCCCTCGGTACGGTCCTCATCAGACATTGTCTGCGATGTCACCACCTGGCACTGTGCAGTGCTCTTAAATGTTTCTCCTTATATATTTTTAAGATATGTTTTATTTGGACCTCAATTACGAGGAAATGCCAACACTGTTATTATATTCAGTTGTTATAAACACTGCTGTTATAAACACTTAGCACACACCCAATCATCAAATGTGATGAAGTAAATTAAAAAAACGTGCGGCTTAAAAAAGATATTCATATATCCTGTTTACATGTATGTATGGATATTAATAGCTCCGTCAACTTTGCGCTTGCAAACTAGGCACCCAAAGCCGGCAACGTGGGGTGTTTATATGGCAGGCAGCTGGATGTTATCTGATATAGCTAGATAAATTTATCAAAACCTACCAAGGACTTCCTATTGCCTTGATTGATTGACTCAGTGATCGGTTGATTGCTTGAAGACTAAATATCATTTGTGGGTCGTGAATTTGTTAAGTTAATTAAGAATGCCAGTTTGTCTATTAGCAACATTATCCAAAATTACGGATGAATTTTGATGACGTTTTCAAGGTAGGACATAAATGGATTACATCTTGGTGGTGATTAATAAATTAATAGTTAATATTAACATTTTTTTAAATAAAAATGCAACCCCGAAGGTTGAAGAAGTACAGTTTAAAAAAGAAAATTAAACATAATAGACTGAGGTAAGTAACACTTAAAAGGGACTTGAAATTTTAAAATCATTTATTGGAACTTTAAAATTGTTGTTCTTCTTTATGATCGTATCTTTCTTTCATGCAAACAATGTTTAGTTTATATTCTGAATTTTGAAATAAAATCCCAACCCTTATTTAGTGTTGTCTTTCTTAGTTATGGGGTGTTGAGTTTATGGACCTCTACCTATAGGACATATTAATTACTTAAACCTGGGTAGCCTATATGACCCTTACAGCTCTTTTTGGATATATTCAATAAATTCAGAGTTTTATTTANAGGATAACCTTGGCGGATAGAAATACTCAATCCGGAAGTGTTGCAGGGCTCTGGTGGTTCCACGTTGAAGTATCTAAAGATCGTGAAAATGTTGGATTTTGTCATTTTTGCAATCACCTTTTTCCTTGCTCTGCTGGGAGCAGTTATTTACTTATATCCTGTAAGTATTGCACTGGTTTATGAAAATGTCTGCTTTTGATTTTGTTTGAAATGCAACATCATGTTAAAGCACCATCTGTGACTCATACATGTACTGTGCCGTGCATGTACTACTGGTTGTACTACAGTACTTGTAGTGGTATAAGTACATGTACAAGTACTTTTTTTCTGCTGATCGATTTCATTTATTAAGTGCATTTTCTGCAAACAGGAGCAAACAGGAAAATGTTCATATTGCAACCGTGCATACAATTTGTCCACACAGAAATAGAACATGTTTTTAGAAAAAAAAAAAAAAAAAAAAAAATATATATATATATATATATATATATATATATATATATATATATATATATATATATATATATATATATATTGCATGCTTATGAAATTGCATGAAAAACGGATAGATTTTATATTTTGCTTACTTTTAGGGATCAAGAAAAGTGACCAGTATTCCTGGATTAGACCCTTCTGATCCAAAGTAGGTTAATTGATGCAACTTAACATACTTTTTACTTATCACAATTGTGTGAGTGGTAATAATTATGATGGTAATGGACAACAGACATATTTGTCTTGTCTGGTTCGTTTATGGTGATATATTGTGATATTTCAGTTGATGAATCATGTCATTGTCAAGTAGCCTGAAGTGGTAAAATAATATCACTGAAAATGGTTGATAGATATGGTCATTGCAAGGTAATGTGACTAAATTGTTAAGTCTATATTATATTACTAGTATTTATTAGGATCAGTTTGACAGTGATTATAGGCATTGTTTAAATGAAGCACTAATTTTTTTTCAAAATAGTCTATGTACTGCTGATGTCACTTATCAGTGTATGAAATGGCCGCCAGCCCGCCAGCCCGAGGCTGGTAACTTTCAGGCCGGGCTGGTAAGATTTACAAATTACCCGCCCGACAGGCTGGTTATTTTTACAGCCTATTTTCACCTTTTATTTTGTCTATGTTCACAAGCGATTTCAGCAAAATATCAAATCAACTCACTGTTTACACCCACTTTCATAGAAGCAAAGAACTAACCAAATAGCTTGCAATTGAACGCTCGTATCGAAATGTAACCAACAGTCTCCCTCTTAGTGGCCTCATTTTCGAAGTTCCGTCTGTGTGATATGAAGTTGAAAGACAATTTGAAACGAGGCACATTGTTCAGTGCACATAACGTTACGTTTTGTGTAGAGGAGATACCGCGAGTAGCAATTTGTAGGTTGAGAGTACTAAAAATGTGAAAGTATAAAAAGTTTCGATATTGATTAAATAGACTTACGGGTACATGAAGTGCTTAAAATCAACAGTAATAAAGGCAATAGAGGAAATTAAAGGATAATTTTACAAAAAATTTGAATCCCAAAATTATGAGTGAAGGTGCGAGTTTACGCCGTGTGTCAGGTGTAGTTCTTTTCCCACGTGCTTTCATCTTGGGCTGTCAAAAATGAAAAAAATTTTTTCAAGTCCAATAGAGAAGCTCACAAAAGAAAAACAATTAAGAAAAGATATAAAAATAAGAAAGATTACGACAGAACCAAACGAAAGAGAACAAATTGGGACCCATGGAAAGGTGACTTCGATTTGCAATGAGTTGAACGGCAACATTTTTTTTTGTAAAACCGTAACTCGAAAGTATCACGCATTGCGAGCAAGCGCAAGCATCTCGATCCAATAACTCGCCCATACTTGCCCCATATAATATATTGTAGCCTCTATGTGATATAGCTATTCTCAATAAGCGATGCTTTCAAACACAGGGCCCTGCAGGACTGTCTATCTCTATGGGCCATTTAGCGTGCAGGACAGTTCCCGACCGCTTTAAGCGATATTCAAAGGGACCCTACGTGCTGAATTCTTTCTTCTTTACTGTCAGCACAGAAATCGATTTATTTGACAAGAATATATATGTATTTGGCCATACTTGTTGCTACACAGAAAAGCAAAAATTGTGTTCAAATGATATCACCAAATCGGAATAAAAGTTATGAATAAATTATTGAAGAAGAAATGAAACTGAATTGACTCCCCCCCCCCTCCCCCGCCCGCTAAAGGGCCCTGAAATTTTTGGGTATTTTAGATGGTGAATGGTGCCATTTGGTATGGTTTAGAACTATGATTCAGGTAGTGAAAAGTGTTATTTCAAGAGGTGAATTTTTTTTCTTTCTTTTTTTTTTTTGCAGAAATTGAGAGGGGGGGGGGGGGTAAGGACCCCCCCTCTAAATCCAACACTGACAAGGTATCATTCAGTAGAAATTCCAACCAATTTCTAAATGTCCACGCATAAGGCATGATATTGCCCTTTCATTTCCAACTTACTCTCCCAAGAATACATTCTAGACCCCCCTCAGCATACCTCTCTTAACTCTAGGGGTTATCATAACTAGGGCAGGTAACTACATGACCGGGCTGGTAACTTTTCAGAGTTACCTGCTTGGCGGTCTGGCTAGTAATTTCCTTGAATTTCATACACTGCACTTATACTTTCAAAGTTACATACTGGTAGATGGTCATTCTTCTTTGTATCTTTCACTGATTTCTTCTCTACTTGCAGCGATGGGAACCTAGCTGACATTGCCAAGGCTGGAAGTCTCCATGAGTTTCTGGTTGAACTCCATGAGACACACGGACCTATAGCCTCATTCTGGATGGGTCAGAAAATGGTGGTCAGCACTGCATCGCCAGGGTTGTTTAGTCAACAGTCCAATGTTTTTGATAGACCAGGTATGTCACTCTTCATGTTGACTTGACCAGGTGTGTCACCCTGAGAGCCCCTTCGGAATAGAAGATTTGAGGATCCCCTGATATATGGAACAAATATGGCAGACCCTACATGAAAGAAGAGCTTTCTAATCCGCTGATGGTCTCCCTGCCTCCATATGCGCCATTAAATGGATTAAATCACGGCTCCGAGGTTTAATTGCTAGACCCTGCAAGGACGGCGTGTGTGGAGATGGGGAAAACCATTTGTGGTGTACATGTAGTGTCACATAATTGATCTGTGGATTTTCTATTCTGAATGGGCTCGAAATGCATTTTTGACTACTGTTGATATAATAGTAATAATAATTTATTTTTGTATGGTGCATTCCATTTGAAATGTCAATACTACTTACAATTTAAAAGCCAAGTAATACAATTATTAAAGATTTAATGTAATCTATCTCATTTCAGCTGAATTATATGAAGTTTATAAACCTTTGTTTGGTGCTCCCAGCATTCTCTTTACCAATGGTGGAGCAGGGAGGAAAAGGCGAGAGATGTACGATGGCAGCATGAGGAACGAGCAGCTCCTGAAGATGAGTCCTATATTTTCAAAGGTCAGTTGTATATATTGTCATGGTACTGTTGGTGGTGATGATCATTAATAATTATTTTGAGCAGCAAAAGAGTCACCTTGTGTATTCAGTTCCATCTTGCACATGAAATGAGGCAGAGGCAGACACTCTAACCTCAAGGTCATCTGGCTTTAGATTCACTGACCAAATTATTTCATGTACATGCAATTCCAGCTTGCTGAAGAATTAGCTGCCAAATGGGGCACAATGGTAGATGACCAACACATTCCACTCACACAGCACATGCTGGCCCTGTCATTTAAAGGGATACTGAGGACACTGTTCCCAGGAAGTTTCAAAGATGACAAAGACGTTGTGTCTCTAAGAAAGAATCTTGATGTGGTAAGTGACAAATTATTATGATGTCACAGTGATAATAGATGTGTGGTTTTGTTATAGCATAAAAATGGCAAAATATATGATGCAATTGCTGGACATTTGGAGTGACAAACTTCAAACAATTATGTCAGTTCAGGTGATCATCTGACAGTATTTGATTTTTGAATTACAATTTTTTTCGCAAAACATCTGATGCACTGCTTTTCAGAAAAATTGAGTTGATTCTAATAAATCCTGGTCCTGAAGGCTTTCTTTTGTCTGTGCCTGAAGGACTGTCATTTTGGCTGTGTCTGGGGTACATGATAGTGGCATGTGATTTTAAAGTAATTGGACATATTTGTGCTGTTTTTCAAAGCAGTAGATATTAAGGCAAACCATGTTTGATTCCGTATATATATGCTTGATAAGGTATATAAAAAATGCATGACTGACTCACTGTACTTTAAAGTTGTATAATTATATTCTAGTGTTGGCATGAGATGGAACAAGAGGTTTTAACTGGTGAAGTTCCAGAGAAAGGAAGTCAAAAAGAGAAACGGTTCACAGATGGTGAGTACTATTGTATATGAAGTACATATAACAGGTACGTGTGCTTGATAAATGCATTTACATTGTGTTGAAAATTTAGAATGCCCATATTAATGACGAAATCATTCACACAACATACTGCCACAGCTACCACACTACACGTCCAGTTGTCACACCTAACACACTACACATTAAGTTGTCCCACTTAACACACTACACATCCAGTTGTCACATATAACACTACACATCCAGTTGTCATAACACACTACACATCCAGTTGTCATAACACACTACACATCCAGTTGTCACACCTTACACACTACACATGCAGTTGTCACACCTAACACACTACACAAACAGTTGTCACACCTAACACACTACACATCCAGTTGTCACACCTAACACACTGCACATCCAGTTGTCACACTTAACACACTACACATCTAGTTGTCATATCTAACACACTACATGTCCAGTTGTCAACTACAGGTCCAGTTGTCACACCTAACACACTACACGTCCAGTTGTCACACTTAACACACTACACATCCAGTTGTTACATCTAACACACTACACATCCAGTTGTTACATCTAACACACTACACATCCAGTTGTCACACCTAACACACTACACATCCAGTTGTCACACCTAACACACTACACATCCAGTTGTCACACTTAACACAGTTCATCTCCTGTTTCAGCCAAGACAGCCCTGCATACAGCCTTCCAGCAGGTGGTCAGTGAGTCCAAAGATAAAACTGTCCATGGTCCAGCCAGCTTCCTGAGCACAGCTGCCATGCACTCTGACTCACAGGCTCTCAGTGACTCCATCACATATCTGGGGATAGGCTTTCAGACTACTGGAAACTGTGAGTGGATTGTAAAATTGTTATGACCTTTTATTTATTTATTAAATTTATTCATTATTATTAATATTTTTATTCAATTTTTTTTTAAATTTTTTAATTTATTTTTCAGTATAATATATTAAGTATGATTATTTGTATAGTTTTGTTTGTGCTTAATAAAATAAAGGTATTTGACAATTAAGGAAGGTGATGTAATATGATTGGCATATGTTGCAGGTTGCAGTATTTCAGTTTCTCGAAATTATACCATAAATCTGTAAAATTAAAACCATCAATAAGTACTATGGGGATTTTGGCTACTTGTAGATCTTTGTTTTCTGACCATGTCACCAGTGAGCAGATGAGGTCAGCATCATTTTAATCATTACACAGTATAAGTCTTAGGTTCCATTCCCCAAAAGACACCATCGGTCTAAGTGGATCGTCCCAACTCTGAGGTGCTCTCGCTGTCTGCAATCAGCTCAACTGAATGACACCCTCTCATGGTGTTAAGTAAAATACAGAAAAGCTGGTGATTATACAATTATGTTTGAAACAAGAGGTGTATCATTCAGTTAACTAGAAAAAAGGTGATTGTATTTAGTGAGTCAGGTTAATCAGCTTAGACTGATGATACAGGAATAGGATGAAGCCAATTTAGAAGCTGGTTTCCTTGCAGTGTTGTCCTGGCTGATCTACTTCTTGGCCACCCACCAAGATGTCCAACAGAAGGTCTATGATGAGATTAAAAGTACTCTAGGGGAGACCGGAAAAATCAACCCTTCCAACATCAGCAAAATGGAGTAAGTGTGTGTAATTGTGTGTGCGTAATTGTGTGTGTGTGTTTTGTGGAAGGGTTAGGTGTGTATGGGTGTGTATGGTGGTGTAAGTTTTGTTGCATAAGTGAGAGTGAGTGCTTTTTTAGAGATAGGGGGAATGGGGGAAACTGTCCTTGCAGACTTGAATTAAACAAAAAGGGGGGGGGGGTTGAGAAAAGCAAGCCGATAAAGAGAGGGGAGAAGAGATAAGGGAAGAACAGAGAGTGAGAGAAAGAGCTGAAAGGGATAAAACAGAGACAGAGGTTCCTTAATAATGGATAATTTCATACTGCTTCTCACTGAGTAGTAATAACGCATTGTTCTCTGTTATAATTGTCTTTCAGATACCTCCACCAAGTTATAGATGAAAGTTTGAGGTGTGCTGGCCTTATTACATGGGTTGCTAGGCAACAAGACTTCGATACAGAACTGGCAGGTCATAAAATTGTAAAAAATGTGAGTCCCATATTTAATATAGCTTACATATTCATAATACTGCTCGACCATGTTGACCTTAAATTTTCTTATAAGAAGGAACAATGTTGTAATTATGTAAACCCATATAGCAAGCATTTTGTATTGGGTGAGACAAATTCAGTGTTGTTTGTCTCACTGTTTGTTGAAACTTTGCAGATTTGTTGAATCTAGATATGGGTAGATGTGCTCTCCTTGTGAAAATGTACTGAGTGTTAATACCGGTTTCCTTGCAGACCCCAGTGATCCAGGCTCTGGGAGTTGTGTTACAAGATGAGAATTTGTGGCCAGTACCTAACAAGTAAGTGACCCTCAGTGACCAAAGCAGTGGAGAGTTTGAACAGTCAGTGGTTTGAACACTTTTTGCAGAATGCCCAGTAGAATCATGTAATTTCCTCAATAACTGATTGCTATTTTTTTTTTTTCTTGGGACCATATATTCTTAGGCCCTGATGTACCAAAGGGCATGTTGTTTAAAAGTTTCTGGTCCAGACTGATGAGATGGAGCCCTTTATTTACTGGTCTGGCATCAAATTTTGACTGTTTCTGGTCACTCCTGAGCACGACTTCATAGCTTGCTTCTAGTCAGTTTGTTTGACCTTTTATAGTACACAGTATCATTACCTTATGTTTACCCCACCTCTGAAGAACATGATAAGGACACGTGACAATTCACAGTGTTACAAACTTCTGGTGATGTAAATGTAAAAAGGATTAGATTTGCTGACAATATGAGGCTCAATATATTTAGTGGCACTACTGAAAAGGGACAGTTTGAGTTATGTCCTAGCTGAATCACCCTGAGCTTCAGAGCTAACTTGACACTAACCTTTTCACTGTAGCCTATCTCCATCGTGTCAAGTAACCTCTGACGAAAATAGTTTGACCTAGTTTATATAAGCCAATCGAATCCATGTTTCAAAAATTTTCACCAAAGTTTGGTGAAAACGCTGATTGGTTGATCGTCAATCGGCAATCCTCGGCTGATTCCGCAAGCTCCATACTCACAACATAGTTATTGTCGAGTGCGGAGACATCCGAGTAGTTCCGAGTGCATAACCGTACACAAAGAAAGCATGGAGTATATCGGAATTGAAACCAGAGNTTTGTCTCACTGTTTGTTGAAACTTTGCAGATTTGTTGAATCTAGATATGGGTAGATGTGCTCTCCTTGTGAAAATGTACTGAGTGTTAATACCGGTTTCCTTGCAGACCCCAGTGATCCAAGCTCTGGGAGTTGTGTTACAAGATGAGAATTTGTGGCCAGTACCTAACAAGTAAGTGACCCTCAGTGACCAAAGCAGTGGAGAGTTTGAACAGTCAGTGGTTTGAACACTTTTTGCAGAATGCCCAGTAGAATCACGTAATTTGCTCAATAACTGATTGCTATTTTTTTATCTTGGGACCATATATTCTAAGGCCTTGATGTATCAAAGGGCATGTTGTCTAAAAGTTTCTGGTCCAGACTGATGAGATGGAGCCCTTTATTTACTGGTATGGCATCAAATTTTGACTGTTTCTGGTTACTCCTGAGCACGGCTTCATAGCTTGCTTCTAGTCAATTTGTTTGACCTTTTATAGTACACAGTATCATTACCTTATGTTTACCCCACCTCTGAAGAACATGATAAGGACACGTGTGACAATTCACAGTTACAAACTTCTGGTGATGTAAATGTAAAAAGGATTAGATTTGCTGACAATATGAGGTTCAATATATTTAGTGGCACTACTGAAAAGGGACAGTTTGAGTTATGTCCTTGCTGAATGGAAACATGGCTATGATTTAAGTGAGCATTCTGATGTGCACGTATTTCTCCAAATTAGAGACCAACAATATTGATAAATGTAAAGCTTTTTGAAATCTTTACTTGAACATGTAAAGTGAAATGTTGGCTAAAACTTAAGTCTCACAGACGGATAATAAAGGGGAATATTGGAATTGTTTCTAGCCTTTCTGTGAAATTCATTATCTCAGAAATACAAAGTAACTTACTATATCTGTTTCAGATTTGATCCAGATCGTTTCTCAGCAGATGCTAAGGCTGATCTCCCATTGTTTTGTTTTGAACCGTTTGGATTTGCTGGCCGCAGAAGATGCCCAGGATTCAAATATACATACATAGAAATCTGCTCTGTCGTGGCAGTGCTGCTACAAAAATTCACAGTAAGTCCTTTAAGATTTTGATTTAGTAGATTTACTGCAGTGAACTCTTTTCTTCCAAACTTCTGATTGACAGGTTTTAATTGACACCATATTTACTATGTACACGACCTTGCCAAAGTGGAGACAAAGGAGGCACTTGTATTGTTTTTTAATTTCTTTGAATATTTTACTGATGAGGTCATCCTTAGGATTTTTTCCATCTTCTTTTGCTGTGGGTGGCTTGCCATGTCTAGTTTCTAATTTGGACTACTGTAGCACAAATCTCTTGCTTTGTATAATAAAAACTGCCACATCCTGTCTTGTAGGTGCACATGGTGGAAGGTATAGTGGCGACACCTATTTACGGATTGGTGACCCACCCTGAAGACGAAGTCTGGGTGACTGTCAGTAAGAGGAAATAAATCAACATGAATCTCAGGAATGTGGTCCATCGTTTTCAACTTGTGATTTTTTGAAGTGGTAGTGGTGTTCCCTTAAAATTACATCCATGAAAGAAGAGGCAAAAAAGAAATGGGGAATGAACAACCTGAAGTTGCAAAAACGTAATGTAATAATACAATGCAGTTGCCAGATTTGCTTTTTGAGCCTGCATTTTTTGACTTGAGAGGGAGTATCTAACACAGCTGTGGAAAGAAAATAGTTCTATATATCTTTAAAAGATGTAGGAGATAAGAAGTTCTAAAACAAGACGACCCTGTCAGATTCTAAAGCTGGCTATATTGCATTGCACCAGTGCAATTAAAACAAAAAATGGAGTTTATTTTTTGCTTATACTAGTATTAAGATAATTGCTGTAAGTTATACTGATGGTAAGATAGTGAAGCATTGCCATTTTATTCAGAAAAACGAATAGGAAGATAAGTGACATTTTGACCATCAGAGAGAAGACGCTTAGTTCAGTCGGTCAGGGGATGGAAGATGATGTCATTGTGTGCATATTAGAAATGAAACGCCATTTGTAGAAAAATTTAACAATTGTGAAGGAATAACAGCAGTTTATTCACTAGTGGTACACATATTTGTATGTCCAAAAAGTGCGCAATTGCTTTTTGAAAGAGGTACAATGAACGTGAAATTGCCATTAGGCACCATAAGATGGTAAAATGGCATAAGTATTTGTATTAGGTGTGCAAAGACTGTCATTGTATAAGTGACACATAGCTTGTATCTTTGCTTTATTCGAGATTGACATACATAGGTGCTAAAGTATAGTATATGTGTAATGATCAGCTAGTGCTATTCAGATTTTGAATAATTTATTCTGTTGCGCAACTGCTTGTGAAACTTAGTTCTTAGATTAACATTTTATTTCATTTAAGATGGTGCTTTGGAGAGGACAGAGATGGGAATGTGCTGAAACTGAAGATGAAGATCATAGATGTTAAAATATCTTCATTCCGTTAGCTTGCAGCCGTCCTAGCCGTAGGCCTTCGTCAGACTGACGTTGGTTTTTGCTGATATAGCAGCCAGGACCTATATACATATAGTTACAGCTTGTTCAAAATAAATATCATTTATGGTCCAACTACCAAGCTATTGAACAATTTGGCTGAAAATAAAGGTATTTAAAAATTTACCCAGGCCTTTGATACATTTTCATGGCGAGCTGCATGGCTACGTAAAACGCTTTAAATACAACATGAAATTGTAATAATGCTAAAGAATAATTAAAACTTCTAGAAATTGGCCGTCTGAAGCATACTCCGAACCCTTTTTCATCTATTCTACCCGGAGGTTTTTTAACGAATAAAAGAGTCTATGTATTTTTTATGAAAAAGAAAGTATCACATGGCTGTCAGTGGTGTAGACCTAAATGTATTTAGGGTTTGGCATATATGGCGAATATTTCAGGGGCGCTTAAAAAGTATGTCACCGGTGAATTTTTACCTTCTTTTTAGTATCTAATGTTCCCTATCATTGTCGCTACATTTCATAATAAGGGTAAGAGGTTACCAAACCGGTGCTAAACCGATACAAAAATACTTTAATTGCGAATGATTGACTACAAGGTGCCATGTTCTCCTCTAGGAAAGCTAGAAATAATTGATGGTTTACCGTATCAAAAGCCGTTGCCAGGCCAAGAAGGATTTGTAACATGGCAGTCTTGTCACCTTTGCATATAAATTTACCACGTGCAGTCTGGTTACACCGGCATATGGCGTTATGTTATGTTATGTTATGTTATGTTATGCTATTGAAGATAACGACACAGTTGAGACCGTTTTGCAAACTTTCAACCTCCATTCAATTACATACAAGCGTCACACTCGACTACCACTATATCATTGCATTATAGCAGCCGTTACATCTCCAAGACAAAAAGTTCAGTTTTTGCTCCAAACAAAGGCCTTCCTGGAATAATATATAGCAGTAACATGTAATGCAGGTTACAGAAATAACTGTTGTTTGTTTTTCATGAATGATCTAAATATTGGCTCCATCAAAAAGAAAAAAGTGTGTTTTTTTATAAGTAAATGTACGAAAAAAGGAGATGAGATGGCATCTAAATCATTCTTGGATCCGTAGAAAATTCTCCTACACCATCAAACTTTACTCCCGAGTTAATGGGTACTTCAGCCGCAGACCCTCGCAATTTAAATAGCAATTAGTCAGCGTAAGTACCATGGGGATCATTTACGTGACCAACTAACTTTTCCTCCTTTCATTATATTGAGATAATTTCAGTATTTACTTCTGTTTAACTTTTGAACGCTAGTCTTATGCATCTTTTTAAATTACCGTTTGCTTTACTAAAACATATACATTTCTTTAAAGTATTTCCCTTACATTTTCCACGTTTTAAGATAATAGTAAAAATAATTGTAAAATTAGAATTGGAGAAAAGTGACCGTCTTCATTAGGTCTCGTCGGAAAAAATACAAATCAAAACATTTTTTTCGGGAAAATATAATGAATTCATCTGAAAGATAACGATAATTAAACCCAATACTCCACGATTTTCTTTGAAACAAATACCATTTAGAAGATAGACAATGTTAATGTCAGCTGATAAGGACCTCTTTTTTGTCCAAAAGTTTGTAATCCAGGATTCAATACAGTCCATAGAAACGTTCTGTGGTCGTGTCATTTTGGTCAAACATATTATGGTAACAACCCGATACAAATTCTTCAGCCCCTAGTACGCCATTGCCGTCATGGTCAAGTGCTCTGAATTGTTCTTCTGGAAGGGTTGTGCTACGAAAGATGGTGAAAAGGTTTGCATATTCTTCGGCAGACACTTCTCCATTACAATCTGCATCAATGATATAGAACCAGTCCCAACACCATTGCAGTTGAGAAAAAATCATTGTATCGTCGCAAATTTCCGATTCCAATAATTGAAGAAATTTGTCGAAGCTCAAGTAAGATCTTTGGGAAGGAGCCCACGATTGCCAATCGACACTCATTACTCCGTAAACAGCTTTGGCTCTCCAGGAGGACAGCACCTGACGACTTCTGTTTGCTGTTTCCTCTACATACTCCCATCTGCTTAGCATACCATCTTCGTTGGCGTCCATCATTCGAAAAAACATGCGTTGTTTCTCTTTCCAAAGATTAGATAACTTCTTATGTTGATTATCCTAAATATTATATTTAAAGAAAACACCAGTGTTGCTGATTGATTACAAAAGTGTCGGTTACAATAGTATTGACATGCATTCAAAGGCGCATTAGGCAATATGCATCCCCAACATGTCTAAGATAATAAAGTGTATTTCACAATTTAAAGATATACTGTGCGTTGTAATATTTGGACTGCATTTTTTTACGATTTTGCAACTAGTCACTTGGGTGTTTGTGGCCTTCATTTACATTTTCAGCTTGCTTCACACAGGACAATTTCGTGTGAAAATACATCAACTCTGATGGACCGTTAAAACATATTGATAATACATTTATTATATTTGACAACTTTACAAGAGACTGAAGTGAAACCCCCCAAATTGTTCCCACCGGTATCAAGAGCTCACACAGAACTCACCTCACGTGTCCTTGGGTCATGGCCAGTGGTATTACAGCTGGTAAACAGCAACAGGGTTAACACGAAGGTTGACAGGTGCATGGTATAAATTTCTCCCTTTCTTTCTAAGAATAATCACGAATAGTCTTATTATAGATATAGTTAACGAATCACATTTGGCTATTATTCAACTTTAAAAAAACATCCACATCTGATTTGTGGATGATGAGTATTAACCTCGTGCAGATATACATTTTTTTCCGAACAACCTTATGTTGAAATGCAATATTTGATTTCTTTAAAAAAACTATTATTCATAAGTTATACATGTATTAACCTAAAATTCTACGGTATTGAATTCGAAATAAGTTATGTCACGTTTGTACATACGAAAACTTATCATATATCATTAATGTCCCTAAGAAAAATGTAACTACCTGGTTTCTTCCTAATTTGCTGCCTTGTTAAATTATGATCACTCAGTTTGCGTTGCGACATTTATATTGGCAATTGGGTCGTATACGTCATCCAGTAGCTTAATTACGCCGAGATAATGAACTACTACCAGCATTTATCTATCCAAACGTATCCGTTTCTACGAGTTTTATTTCATGCTTTTTTCTTTACAAAATCATAAAAAACCTGTCATTTACAGAGGTTGTGAGCAGTCAATAGTTACACAAAAAGGCTGCATTTTCCAATTTCAATGAGGCCAATTAATGCTAAAGGCAAAATTCCACATGGACATAAGTGAGTTTCAAATTTTTCAACTAAGAACCAACCTATACAAACACGTATAATGACGCATCATTACATTTCTCCCCACCAACACCCTTTTTTATACGTGTCGTGTTTATTTTAAGATTACCAATCTGAATTGCAAAAACGCTGCTTCATTGACTAAATTTTGAGCTTTTCTTTTGTGACAGATCAACGTGAAATAGGTTTGGTCGTCGGTGAACGTTTGCAAGTATCAAAAAATACGCTTCAAAATATTGTCACCAAACATCACTTTAATCGCGAATATAAGCAAGGATGCTGAACAAAAATACTCAATGTGCTTGAAAAAGAGACAGAAGATGTGCTGATAACGAACTCCCTTTTTAGTGTTTTTCCTTAATCAGATCCCCCGTTCTCCGAAGAAACTTGTCGTGCTGGTATCATTTTGGTCATAAGAGTGACGGTAACAACCCACGATGACAAAGATGGGAATGTGCTGAAACTGAAGATAAAGATCATAGATGTTAAAATCTCTTCCTTCCGTTAGCTTCCGGCCATCCTAGCTGTAGGCCCCCCTAAGACTGACGTTATAGTTTTTGCTGATATAGCAGCCAGGAACTATTTACATATAGTTACAGCTTGTTCAAAATAAATATCATCTACCAAGCTACTGAGCAATTTTGCTGAAAATAAATATATTTCAAAATTCTCCCAGGCCTTTAATACATTTTCATGCCGAGCTGTATAGCTACGTAAAACACTCTAAATACAACATGAAATTGTAATAATGCTAAAAAATAATTCGAACTTCAATAAATTGGCCGTGTGAAGTATATTCCGAATGCTTTTTCACCAATTCTAGCCGGAGGGTTCTTTTACGAATAAAAGTGTCCATTTATTTTTTATGAAAAAAAACCCCACATGGCTGTCAGTGGCGTTTAACTAAATGTATTTAGAGTTTGGCATATGTGGTGTATGTCGAAGGGTTGTTTAAAAAGCGTGTCACCGATTAATTTTTACAAACTTTTTAGTACCTAATGTTCCCTGTCATGGTCCCTACATT